AAGATTCCAGCAGTTAAATTCTATGGCCAAATATGGACAATTCCACCAAGTGCCATATTCTGAGAGAATATATATTTGTGGAGCATCAGAAATAGAAGACATTGCACGTGTCCTGTTTAACTGTCAGTTATATGTCTCGGTAAGGGCTCAGTACTTACAGACACTACTTGACAGAACCATATATTGGGGCTCTAACAAAAGATGATCTTATTTCCTTCAGGGCCCAAACAAATATGTAGTCACTAGAACTGTTAAATTTATAGTCATGGTTGTCCAACAGAGAACACATTTTACAGAATACATTGGGGTTGCATGCAAAGGTGATGAATTCACCTAAACACATATTGTTTTCAAATCTTAATATTCATTTTATTATACATCTCTGCACTCTATTTTATCTTATACTATTTATCCTACCTTTTATCTTTACTTATCTTACCTTACTATAATTTATCTATTTTATCTCACTGTAGTCTATTTTATTTTATTTTATCTCACTTTATTTCATTTTATTGTATCTCACTGAGGCTGATGCCTATGCTCTGATATGGTCAATTGACTAATCAATAAAATATACTACATTGCATCCAAATCAAGGTGTAGACTTAGTGAGGAACAAGAAGTATGCCCCATGATCCATGTCCACTTCCCCGTTCATTCTAATGAAACAAAGAGACCTGCATATCCTCTTATTTCTTCACATGACTCTTCCTTCTTCTGGAACAATTTGGGCACTCCTCAGATATGTTCAAAGTGCAAATTCCACAGAAGAAATCTATGGTAGATTGAAATGGATCCCAATACAGAGTTTAATGGACGTGTGGAACTGACCCACTCAGCATGTAGAAAAATTGCAGATCTATTTCTTTCACCACAGTATCAATCTTTAAAAGACTTTAATGCCTATTTTGGTGTGAATTTTAATATATTTTTAACTTTTTATATTCTATATATTTTTGTTTTGTTAACTGCCTTGAGTACTAATCAGAGCAGAAACAAAAAGAATAAATCAAATAAATATGTAGATAAACATAGAAACATAGCCAAACCCTAAAATATGTGCTGCCAGGAGCACATAGGATGAGAAATATGAACTACTGCATCAGCAAAATATCTCAAAGTAGGTCATTTTGGAAATTTTTTGGGGGAAATTGCTGAATTGTGCTAAATATTTTAACATTTCTATCAGTTTTTAAAAATGACATCAGCATGTTATTAGCATTTCAAATTAAGATATATCTGCTTGGGTTTCAAAGAACAAAAATGAGAAATAATCTTATACTCATCGTCTTCTGGAAAATGTATTTTGCATACTTCCTGAACGGAGCAGCATTAGTAAATTAAAATGTTATCTCCTGTGGGAGAACCAGTTGGGTGTAATGGTTGAGGCATCAGGCTAGAAACTGGGAGACTGTGAGTTCTAGTCCTGCCTTAGACACAAAGCCAGCTGGGTGACCTTAGGCCAGTCACTCTCTCTCAGCCCTGGGAAGCAGGCAGTGGCAAACCACTTCTGAAAATCTTGCCAAGAAAACTGTAGCGACTTGTCCAGGTAGTTGTCAGGAGTCAACAGTGATTCAAAGACATTAAAAAAAACAAACCCTCCTTTGGAGTTAGGTTATATAACCCAGCTTGCCCAGTCATTTTCTTGTTTCCGGCAATAGATAGTGTCTTTTTTTTCCCTAGGTTGAAGCCAAAGGTCAAATAAATACTTCCCTTGCATCAAAAGATCCATCAAATTCTATCTATCTCCTTTCATCCCAATACATTGGCTGGAGAGTCACTACTGCCATGTGCCAGCACTTCCTGCCACCCATTGGTCCTGACATCCCTTTGCGACACCTGCCTGAACGGAAACCAGTATCAATGCCACATCAAGGATCAGAGCCGGTGGCTACAGAGAAGAAAACCAAACGCTTGTCTTTAAGGTATCAATTTCCTGGACCTACCTATTGCTTCTATATGTAATTATTTAATTTGTTTTGAAATCCTTTTAATCCTTCTCATTTTCATCATCCTTATGACTTATAAGGCTTGACAAAAACTATCTGGAAATTAATTAATCTGTATGGATCAGAACTTTGGGATGAAGTAGAGATTTGTCTATTTTGCATCAAGGGTTCCTTTTCTCTCTGTCATTTTACCTTTCTGGGTGATTACTAAATTTAAAAACAGGATTTTGGATAAGGGAAACGTCTGACATGGCAATATCTAAGATTAAAGCTTTTTAAATTTCTTTTGAGAATGCATTCAAGCAAGATAGTTTGAGAAAAGGTAACTGATAATCCAAAGAAAATGAATGAGATACTATTTATTAATAACATATTCACAGCCTAATTCTGGTCATATCTGTAAAAGATTCAAATACACGACGTATTTTAATCCCAGGATTAAAATGTATGTTTTCATCTCAGGATTATTATGTTAATGCTTTTACCTATTCTTCCTGACTATTCCAGGAACATCCTCTCAGAGCATTCTGGTGGTTCAGAACACATTCTTTCTGTGAAGACTCCCATTTAATTCTTTGAGCATCCTAACTCATTTGTTCACATTCATATTCCATACTCCTCATCTTTCTTACTTCTTCTTTGCTTTTCATTAAGTATTGACATTTAGATTGAAGCCCCTGAAGGATGTAGACCTGCCTCTCCTTTTTAGTCAGAATTATTGGCTCTCCCTAAATTAGTAATGATGGTATAGGTCAGAGCCAAGTATTTGGCAGCTGGGGTTGTACTTTATGGGGATGAGGACAGCAGTTGGTGGATCAATAATATGGTGATTTATTTATTTATTTATAAAACCATCCATCTCAAACAATGTGATTCTGGGTGGCGTACAGCATAAAAAACAATTTAAAAAAGGAAAAAATATACCAATAAACAAATACAAAATATAAATACAAAACATAAAATATAAAATATAGAATGGCAACCAGTGGTGTGACTGAAGGGGACAGGGGTGAGATTTCTGAGGTGTATGGTTCTGTGATTCTTGTTCGTACAGTTACTGTATACACTTTTTAAAAACTTTTCTTGTATGAATGTTGGAAGTCCTGTCTTTAGTCTTAGTGACACAATTTCTGATGTCTTTAGAAACCACAAAAATAGATTAAGGGATTGGTTTAGTAATGAGTATGGGTTACCTGCCTACACATATAGCTTGCTTACTTTAAGGTGGACCATTATTTGCATTTTACCTTACAATAGTGTGCTTAAGAATATATTAAAAATGTGATGATGATCACATAAGAAAATTAGACAAAGGAATGTAAAAAATAGAATAACAAAAAATTGATGTTTCCCAGTCAATACACAATTTAAAATGATTTAAAGAGACAGTTTTTTATTTGATTTTGGTAGTAACCATACTATTGAATTTTGGTGACAACTTAGGAGAGAGCCTGCAGACCTGTGCTAGATCATTGGGGACACAATTAATCTGTAAACTGTAAATTGCCCGTCTCTGATTTAGTCAATAATCCTAGGATAAGAACATCACTGGATTATTGGTTGCAATATTTTGAAACCTCACATAGCTTTCAAATTAAGACCACTTATTACAAGAGGTATATAAAAGTATTCTAAACTAAACTTTGCTTGCAATCAAGTAGTTCTTCATGTAAACACAAATCAAATAAATTCAAATGTATTGATACTGCCCAAAGTTGGTTATGCAACACTATACCGTAATCAAAATGGGCTGCGGTATAGATTTTGTTGATGGTAAAGCAACTCCATTGTCATTCTGTACAGGCATTCCTCGAGTTACGACCCCATTGGGACTGGGATTGCCATCCCTAAGCAATGTGGTCGTAAAGCATGATGTCACGTGACCACATCGCTTAGCAACGGCAATCCAGGCAGTCCCGGTTGCCATTGTAACCCAAGACACATAGGTCGTTAAATGGGAAATGGAGGGAGTTCCAGATAAGGAGTGCAGGGGTGCTGTTGGGGGGGGGGAGGGAGTCCTTGGAGGCCTAGCACAGGCTGTGTGTGAGTTGTGTGAAGGGGGTGCTATAGTGCAGCGTGAGTGGGAAGCCTGGGAAGGAGGGTACTGGTGGGTGCGTGCATGGGGACGAGTGCAGGAAGGCTGGGGGAAGAGGGTGCAGGGTGCATGCATGTGTATGTGTATGTGTATGAGCGCAGGGAGACCCAGGAAGGAGGATGGTGTGTGTGTGTGCATGTGAAGTACAGGAAGGTGGAAAGAAGGCACAGGGTATATGCAAGTGGAGGGAGACCTGGGAAGGAGGGCACTGGTGGGTGGGTGCATATGTGCAAGCCCAAGAAGGTTGGGGAAAGAGGGCGTGGGGTGTGTGTGAGTGAAGTGGGGAAGGAGGATGTGTTGTGTGTGAATGAATAAAGGCCGGGGGGGGGGGGGGAGACTTACCCGAGCAACTTGTAGTCTTCTCTGCTGGCTTTTGTTTGCCTGAATTTTGTTGATGTGGCTGCAATAAACGAAAGGACCGGTCATAAGTCTCTTTGTTAAGTGCTGTTGTAACTTCAAATGGTCACTGAATGAATGCTCATAACTCGAGGACTACTTGCAATGAGCTTTGTTTGGGACAGTGGCTATATATGTGAATAGGTTTGCTTTGTGCCCCATTTTCTTCCCACTTGAGGTTCAGGACCCTAAGTCATATCTGGTTTTGCTGCAGTTGCCCCTAATATAATTTAAAACTCCAGAATAGAAAAAGAATAGGCAGGGCTTTTATTGTTAAATCATTCATGCCTCTATTTGAAAACAGAACAACGCCCAGCTATGTTTTTCTCTAGGAAAGAAGATATAAAAATATTTTCCTTCAGATTTCCTGTCTCTGGGACTGCTTTTTGTTGGAATGGTAAGAACGCTAAGAGTAAAGAGTAGAAGAGTAAAGAGTAGAACATGACTTACCATCCCATATAATTTGGCTTGGAGTTCCTGAAAAACCTTACAAGTCCTGTTTTATTTGGATGGAATGTAATTGAGATGAGATTTCTGCTAATTATACTTAAGGAACTTAACAAACATTATTGCAAAGTAGGAGTGAGACACAGCAAGCGGTAATTAATCCAAAATACAATAATACCCTCTGGTATCCAAAGATTGAACCAGAAGCCTCCAAGTCTTTAAAAAAGCCTCTTTTCTTCCTTTATGCAGACTGTAAAAATATTCCCAGTGGATCTCCTTACAGAATTGGCTTTATTCTAGATAGGAAATCTTATTCTAGAAGCCCAGACCAAAAAATGGCAATCTTTATAAAACATTCTGTTTGATTCTGTAAATCCATAAGATGTATGCATGGAGCAGCACACAGAAGAGAGGATGGAAAACAGGAAGGTTACTTCATGCCTTATAGCAGTGTTTCTCAAACTATATTCTGCAGAACTTGAATATCAGTGTTATGAAACAACTTGAAAGGGATCTAACAGCTGGTCCCAAGAGTCAAAGAGGTTTGGTACAATTTGGATCCATTCAATTTCACTAGCCAGAAGTCCCCTATCCATGAACAAAGGCTAGAACTTCAGTAGAACAAACAATTGAAACAAAATTGCTGAAAGACTTTTGCATGAAAGTTCACAGAGAATATGAGCCTTTAAATGAAAAAAAAAAAAAATTAATGGTCCTGCTTTCTTTTCCTTCAGCATAATTTTGTGAAAGTGTTTTTCAGTACTCAGTACAAATGGGCTGAATATTACAATGATTTGAAGACTTTAACAAATCTCATTCCAAACACTGATGAAATATGCAGGCATAGCTCATAGATCCCTTTAAGATTTCTAATCATTGTAATTCCTTAAGGAAAATGAAGAACATTAATTATCTAATTAATGCTTTATTTCAAGATTCCTTTGCCCCCCCCCCCTTTTACAAGCATTCCTCAGATAAATGACTCATTGGAGAGGTTCAGGGTTTTAAAAGGTGCAATGGGATGCTCTGCAAGGTCTAAGACACCTGTTTTTCCCTTAGAAACCACTTGTCCTTGCGGGCTGCAGGGGCCACAAATGGGATTGGTGGTGAGGCTTCATGCTCCTCATGATCTGCAGGTTGCCCACTCCTCTCCTATAGGTGGAAAACTATTAGAATAAAGCTTCATGTTCTTATAAACCTTTAGTGGACTGGGGTTTATCATGCAAAGTATATTTTGAAACAACTTTGTAAAGATAGGACATTATTATTATTTTAATATTGCAAGTGGGAGGCTGAAACTGAGGGATGATAGCTTGCCTAATCACATCATGTCAGAGGCAGGATTAGAACCTGTGACTTTCTGTCAAATACTTATAATGCCATCTCTGAAATTACACATTTTGCATGTGTTGTTGCATTATGGCCTTTGGCTTAGGAAGGAATTGAATGAAAAATGAATGATGAGTTTAACATCAGACAGAATAGTGGAATATGACCTGAGGACTTTTTTTTAAAAAAAGTCTTCTCATAGCTATAAATATTCTTGACAGCTGGTACTCTTTTTTGGAAAATGTCTGGTAGACTAACAGTGAATAATAGGAGGGAAGAAAATGGAGGGAGATGAGAAAGTTAAATATAAAATAAATTTCATCTTCTGAACTCAGTCAGATAAATAACATTAACACAGGCCAGCAAGCAGAATATGTGTAAATGGTATGCGTACATATATTTTCATTTTCTCAGCCACATGTGTGCAACTTCACACTTTTTAAAAGCTTTCTTCTTAGTTTAACCAATCCTTTAAAGAATCTAATAAGCTTCAAGGGATTTTTGATACATGTGCTATACCTATATTCCTTTTCAGTCATAGTAATATTTACATGCCAACTAGAAGTCCTGAAAGTCCTGCAAATAAACTATATAGGGAAGCCCAGGGGAAGCCAGTTGACTACTACTTATTTACAATAAATGAGAATCTGACATAAGTACTCCAATAATGACATGAAGAAGTGGCATACATTTTAAATTATATTTCAAG